CGCCCGCGGAGCAAATCAACCGCAACCACGGAGAAACTGACTCGCAGCCGCGGAGAAAATAAATCGCGCCCGCGGAGAAAATAATCGCGCCCACGGGGAGAACGCACCCCCGGGGAAAATGCATCGCGCCCGCGGGGAATGTCCATCGCGCCCATGGAGAGAATAGATCGCACCCATGGGGGAAATAAATCGCGCGCGCAGAGAAAATAAATCGCACCCGTGGAGAGAATTTTCCCAAACGCAACCTCACCTTCCTGCGAGACGGGCGCCAGAGATGGGCATCTGCCCGATGCAATCGCGCCCGCACTTGGCGCCGCGCGCAAGCACGAGCGGACGGAACGGAATCTGCGACCGCCGCGTTGGTAAGCGCCGCCCCGCGCGCGCGACAACCGCCATGTGCATGCCCGACCCATCCTATAGCAATGGCTGCTATAACAAGGACAGGCCCTTTCGAGATGACACGTGGCGCGGTGACAGTTGCCCCCCCCCCCCCCCCCTTCGCTTCCCCTTCCCCGCTCCGCCGCCGCCCCGCCGCGCGCGCGCGCGCAAACCGCGCGCCCCCGCCGCCCCCCCCCGCCACCACTTCGAGCGCGTACGTACGCACACACATACAAACACCCACACATGCGTACATGCACATGCATGCATGCTTGCATGCACATACAACTATATACATACAAATGTGTGTGCGCGTGTATATACACATGTACGTCTGTGTATAAAACGACTTATCTCCCCAAACAACACCCGCACTTAGCACCGCGACCACGCATGCACACCGCCACCGCCCACCCGCACACGCAGCGCACCACGCGCACCACAGCGCGCAAACATAACGAGCAGTGCGCGCGCGCGCCGCAGCACACGCGCACGCACGCACGCCACGCACACAACGCAACACACAAACGCACACACCACGCCCCCCAATCCCCCCCCCCCCCCCACCCCCCCCCCCCACCCCCCCCACACCCCCAACCACAACGCACACGCACACCGCCGCCGCGCAAACCGCTCCCACAACGCACGCACGCACACGCAGGGACGCGTGCGCACCACCAGAATACGCGCACGCACACACACGCACGGACACACGCAGGCACGCACACACACCCACACACACACACACACCTGCGCACCACCACCACCATCACCACACCGCCACCACCACGCACGCGCACACACGCACACACACACGCACACACGCCCACCCACTCGCCACACAGAGGCGCGCGCGCACGCACCCGCACCCTCCGCACAAGCACGCTATGCAGCGCTCCGGAACGCCACGCACACACACACACACACATCAGGACGTGCACTGGTATGCACGCTCGAACTTACACGCACAAACACGCGCCGCGATCATGTCGCGCGCGCTAATGCAGCACCAGCATCGCCCTCACGCGCAACGCACACCGCACACGCGCACAAAGCATGCACGCACGCGCGCGCGCACGCACGCGCACTCTTCCCCACCACCACCGCGCCCCCCCCCATCACCACGCCCCCCCCCCCCAACCACTACCACCCACTTTCATTATCCAGGGAGCCGCGAGATCTCGTCTGGATCGCGTGGCGTACAACTCCGCTGGCTTACCGAGGAGCTCACAGAAGTTGCGACAGTTGCGCCGTTGACAGCCCCCCCCCCCCCCTCGCAATGCAAAGGCTCGTGGTAAAGCCTTGCCAAGCCCATGCTGCGTGTAACCCTGCCATGGTCTAGGCCATCCCTGCCTAGCTCAGCCGAGTCGGCCCAGTCTGAGCCAACTCGAATGCCATGGCAGATTTGGGCCCGATGTCCCAAGGGCCCCCGTCGCATGCTGGAGAAGACGGCCCCGTAAGCCCTGGGTTGGGGTGGGGTGGGGTGGGGTGGGGTGGGGTGGGGTGGGGTGGGGTGGCGGGGTGGGGTGGGGTGGTGTGGGGTGGGGTATGTGTGTGTGTGTGTGTGTGGTGTGTGTGTGACGTGTGTGTTGTGCGTGTGTGTGTGTGTGTGTGTGTGTGTGTGTGTGTGTGTGTGTGTGTGTGTGTGGTGTGTGTTTGTGTGTGTGAGTGTGGGTTGTATTGTGGGTGTGGTGTGTGGGTGTGGTGGTGGGTTTTGTGGGATTGTGGGTGTGGGTAGTGGTGTGGGGTGTGGTTGTGGGTGGTGGGCTTCGTTGGGTGGGTGGAGTGGTTGTGGGTGGGTTGGTGGTGGGTGGGTGGGTGGGTGGGGTGGGGTTGGGGTGGGTTGGTGTGGTGTGGGGTGGGTTGGGGTGGGGCTGGGGTTGGGTGGGTGGTGGGGGGGGGGGGGGGGGGGGGGGGGGGGGGCCCAGGAACTCGCGCCGCGGGCTTCGGTCCCTGGCGATTTCGGCCGTCGGAGTCGCGCGGCGCGCTTGGAATTCGCATCGCCCCCCCCCCCCCCCACCCCAGGGATGCGCGTGAAGGGCCCTGAGCATCCAAGTCGCAGGCCACAGGTGGTCGCGAACTGGCCCCAGGGCCCCGCGTGGCAGGCCCCAGGCGCGGCGTCGCAGGCCGCGAGGGCTCGCGTCTTAAGCCCCGAGAGCTCGCGTCGGCGGGGTCATGCCTCGACCCCAAAGCGAAGAAGCGTTCTAGACATCATCGTGGCATTCGTTTTCGCGTATTCCACGCGGTAGTCCTCGCAATCCCATCGCGGCGCCCTTCGTTCTTCCGTTCCCCTATCTGTTCCGCCCCGCCCCCGCTCGGCGATGGGCGCGCCGCCCAAGATTAATACTTTGCCGACGAAGAATTGTTAGGGATTTTCCAACATGGCCACTTGTGTTTTTTTCCATCCCAGGTCGATGATCATGCAACCAGTCGTGACGGAGACGACCATGTATGGCAATGGCTGCAAGAAGTGTTGGTGTGTGTACAATATCGGGTTCAGCATGGACGGCGCGTGGGCGCATGTGTGCCAGCAGTGCCATCATAAGAAAGATTACAACGACGCATTCGAGAAGGCTTGCGTCGCGTGGGAGAAGTCGACAGACCCGTCTCAGAAGGACTTCTTCCCGCGCCACGTCACCAAGAATATCATGGCAGGGGCGAAGGCGTTCGTCCGCATGAGAGGGCTCAGGCCGTCGGAGTTCCTGGCGAGGTTCGGCAAGGAATACCGAGAGCTTGGCTTCGTCGCGAAGGACCTCCCGCAGCCGTTCTACAGCCAGGAGAAGTTCAAGGGCGTCCTCATCCACGACGACGGCTCCTTCGGTGCCGCAGGCGTCTCGTACGAGCTGTACTTCAACATCGAGGTTGAAGACCAGGAGGTGTTCGTGGATCCGTCCCGTCAGCTGTGCGACAAGCACGCCGCCAAGATGCTGGACTACCTCACCTGCCCGTCGAAGAACGAGGACGCATTCGTGAAGCTCTGCAGGAACGCATCCTTGACGGTGGATGACGTCAACGGGAAGATCCAGGAACTGGCGGCTCCACCTTGTGCTTCCGAGGCCGCCGTGGAGACGCCAAGTAAGGCAGGTGGTAGTGCTGATGGTTTTGGTGGGACGCTGTCGGCTGTCAACGTGCCGACTTTGGCATCCAGAGCAGTTGCCGCCCAGAAGAAGTCCAGCGGCAAGACCATCGTGGAGGAGAAGGGCCCGGCCAGGTCGCCAGCGAGATCTCCTCGCGACTCCGACGCCGTGAGGAGCGTACTCGGTGACGACGACAAGCTGAACATTGACGCGATCCTCGGCGGCTCGACGAAGCAGGGGCACTCGAGGAGGCGCATGCGCGAGAAAGAACAATGATTGACGCTTCGCGCATCTCCGCCAGCCCACGTAGCAATGGCGCTCAGGAGGTTGAAGGGGAGGAGGAGGAGGAGGAGGAGGTGGGAGTTAAAGAGGGGCGACGGGGGCGGGGGAGAGAGGAATTTGACGAGGACGACGGAGGAGGAGGAGGACGCGGCTGGATGGCGAGGGGAGCTGGAAGAGGACGATGGGGGATGGGTGGACGGGGGGAAAGGGGAGAAGGATCGCGAGCGGTCTCGAGGTGCGCCACCCCTCACTCCTCCCTCCCCCTCCTCCTCCCTTCCCCCTCCTCCCTCCTCCTCCTTCCTCCCTCCTCCCGCCTCCCTCCTCCCGCCTCCCTCCTCCCTCTCTCCACCCTCCTTCCCCCCCTCTCGGCTGGTCGCGGGCGCGGTGCAGGACATGTGTCTTTGCCCTGGCGAGTGCGGAGAGGCTCGGGTGTCATGGGCCCCATTCGAGGGGGCAATGTAACTGCATCATGTGTCGGAGCTCTTGGGCGCTAGTCGGACGTGTTTGGGGGCAGGCGGTGGTCTTCTGGCGCGCCCGCGGCTCCTTGATCGACTTGGGGTTCCTTTAGGGTTGGCCATCGGGGGGGTGGGGGGTCATGGGCTTTCTGGGGCGCATCTCAGCCATCCTCGCGGCTCCGCGTTCGAGTATTCGCCCCCGCCCACGCATGCCATCCTGGGTAAGATGCATCACGCAATTTGCGTGTTTGACTCTTGGCGTCCTTCTAGGCCCTCGTATCTATTCCCCTTGACGGCTCTTGGGCGGCCCGGCGTGGCTCTGAACGTTGTTCGGGCCTCCCTGGAGCATCATGCGGTGCCCATTGGGTTGCATTGGGCCTCGTTGCCCCCCCCCCGCCCCGCCCGAGCTGCGGAGGGTTTCCAAGAGAGTGCGGCGGCGGGACGCAGCATTCGTGGCCCCCATCTGGTTTCTGCAAGGCGTTGGCCGCTTGGGCAAGCCTGCGTGGGGGGAGGGGTCCTGCGATGGGGTTGCTTTGTCGTGGGGCGGCGCTTGGGCCTAGATGGCTCGAGGGCCGTCAAGTGGCATCGGGCTATCTTGAGCCTCGCGGCGGCCAATGCATTCTAGCTGTCCCGAGGGGGTGATGGGGCCATTTTGGATCAGCTTGTGCTGATGGCCCGCCGCCCCTCTGCCCAGGCGCAGGGGGAGCGCGGGCGCGTGGGGAGGGTAGTATGCCCTCCGACCCGAAAGAAACCATGTAGTACCACTAATCTTCGTTCTCATGCGCTTGCGCCCCATGGGCAGGTCGGAATGCTGCGTGTCTCGGGTGCGGCCTCGGACTTGCAGAAGGCCAACCTTCTCCATGCGCGCCTGGAGCTCGCGAAGGCCGCGGAGGCGTGCTCGGACACGAAGCACATCCAGTTCGGAGAGTTCAATACCGTCGGCGACGAGCTGACACTGCTCAAGAAGGCAGACGTCATGTGGCCCGCGCAGCTCCAGGAGGCTTGCGTGCACAGGGCCCTCGCCAACGCTGTTCCCAAGTGGCCAATTGGACAGGAAGACACCGTTACGAAGTTAGCGTTCCTCACGGGGGCCATCATGATGACGGCGCCAGGCGGCCCCGACGCGGACCTCGACGACTTCGACCCGCTCGACCCGAAGGTTCGGTCCCTCTCGTTGAGCCCCCAGGAGAAGATCAACAAATTGAATACTTCGCCGCATCGGGCATCTTGGGCCCGCTGGTGCTGAGTTTCGACGACACCGGCGGGGGGGCCTCCTTGATGAACCTGCGATCGTTCGACAACATCGTGTGCTCATTCATCCACTCCGAGATGGGGCCCGACGAGATGTCGGCAATACAGACGGTGCTCGCGCTCACGCGCGCGACGATTCACATCGCCGACGCCGCCGATGTCAAGTACGTGGTTCCATTCATGAAGTTTTTCGGCCCCAATGCCGACTCGGAGCTGGTCAAAAGGGTTGCGCCGACACTCGTCGTACCGTGCATCAGGAAATCAGCGGCTTTGAAGACAAGCTACGACGACATGATGGTGAAGCTCGCGGTGTACCCTTCAGCCATCACTTCGTTCAGAGAGATTGTGGAGACTGAGTTCTGTGAGGGGACGGCAACGCCGACTTCGCCTAGCGCTCGGGCGAGTTTGGCGGCCAGCTTGTCGTTGTGGGGTGCTAAGAAGGCCGACTGCAGGAATGGTTCGGACACCACTGTTGTCAAGATATTGCAGATTGCGTTGGGTAAGTTCTTCGACGAGGCTTCCGAGAAGTTGGGCTTGATCCTGGAGCAGAGGGTCGAGGCGATCTCTTTGGGCTCTGATGACAGCGCTGTGACCTACGCCGACGCGGTCATGACTATGATGGGCTCGGTCGCCTCCCTGCGATTCCCAGGTGTTGCATTGTCTTGGATGCAGTGCAAGGCCAAGGCAGAGAAGGTGAAGCCGATGGTCGCGGCCAGCGAGAGTGAAGAGAAGCTCATGCCTCTGATCGCGAAGCTGACCGAGATCGCCGACTTGGCAGGAGCTGACTGCCAGAGTTGGCGCCAGGAGCTGATGGTTGCGATCCAGGGCGTTCGTGCTCCGCGAGACCCCGACAAGCCCATCGAGACGAAGATGACGACCGCAGTCGAGAAGTTGTTCCAGCACTTGCGCGATCTGCTCTTCGGGGCAGGCGGGACGGACCAGATGGCGGAGATCTCCACTTGGGTAGAGGTCCTCGAGCAGCTCGTGTGGTTCGTGCCGCCCGAGGGGAAGGGCCAGAAGAAGCTGCTCGTAGACCATGTGAAGGCGTCCATCGCGTTCCATTCGGCGGCGGTGAACTACGTGGGCATCGGTGCAACCGCTCAGGAGCGTCTGGCGATCGACGTGAAGTGTGTGAAGCTCCGCGGCCTGCATGGCCAATGGCTGAACTTGGAGAGGGAGTGGTCCAAAGTGCAGGCTGCGTTCTTGGACACCGTGAGTTTCAACGGCGTTCGAGGCCAGGTTGAGGCTCTTTACCGCGCTGCGGCCGAGAGCTACGACGTCGGCTACCAGGAGAAGAATGCGATCGCGGCTGCCCTGCTGGCCAGCGAGATCAAGGCTGGCGGCCCGTCAGTGCTCGATGGCGCGGGCGGCGTGACGGAGAAGGGCAAGACATGGGGTGATAAGCTGAAGGCCGACGCTTCCTTCAAAGCCATCGTCAAGGCTGCGATGGTGACGATCATCACCAGGAGCCCTGACGTGATCGACAAGATCACGAAGGACCTCACGACCGCGTATGAGGACATGGTCGACTTCGCCCAGACATTCAAGGTGCATCCAGACGATGAGCTGATGAAGAAAACGCTCGAGACGATCATCAGGCTGAAGTGCTCCACGGCGGAGTGCAGGATCTTGGCAGAGATCGAGGCGTCACAGGACGAGGCCGCGCTGAGCTCGTTCGTCGTCAAGCAGCAGGCGGCCTCGAAGAAGGCTCCGTACGCGTACAGCCACCTGATGCATCCAGCACTGGCGAAGGTGATGGAGGCCTGCAAGGCCATGGAGTTCACCAAGTAGGTGCGCTCGAGCCGCGGCGCCCTCCGCCGCTGTTGGAGGAGGGCTGGATGGAGGTAAGAGGAGGGTGGAACGAGGTTGAGGGCGACGGAGGGCGCTGACTGACGATGAGGGCGCGGGCGGGGGGGGTACACCGCCTGAGGTACGAACCAGACGAAGACGCAACGTGGGGGAGGGGTGGGAGGGCGCGGGACATCGAGGACGACGGCGGTGAGGGAGGAGGAGGATGCGAGGATGAAGGCAACAACGAGGACGACGCGTAGGATGAACTCGGGGAGAGGGGCGGCACAGAGAATTGCGACCAGGATGGGGTAACCGATGGGGGTCGCGCGAAGCGTTTGTGCGCTCGTGCAGCCCGCCTTCATCGGGGATCCATCCTGGTCGCGATGGTCCGCCGCGCCTTTCCTTGAGTTCATGCTACTCGTGCGCTCGTACGATGGTAGTTGCTACAGCCGCGGGCGGCTGGCGACGGCGCCGAGGAGCAACGTTTCCCGTGCTGCGGAGACGCCAGCGTCCCTGAGCTTCCGTCTCCGTCTGGCCCTCCGCCTCCTCCTGCTGCTGCTGCTCCTCCTCCTCGTCCTCCTCCTCCCCACCTCTCCTCCTCCTCCCCCTCCTCCCCTTCCTCCTCCCCCTCCTCATCATCATCATCATCCTCCTCATGGCCGCCGAGCTTGCCACGTGATTGTTCTTATGGTTGCCATGGTGCTCCCACCCCAGAGGCCCCTTCATCGTCGCGTGGTCGTCCTCGCTTTCCTGCCTCAACCTCCCTACCCTCGCCGCCTACTTCCGCTTGCCTTGTTCGTCATCCTCCAAGCGCCCCGCGCCCTCGAGAGGGCGTCGGGGCGCATGCCACGCCGCCCGCTGCGCCGCAAGTGCGCGATCGCCCCCGCCCCCTTGCCTCGCGCCCTAGGCGCGCGCGTCGGCGACGCCGATGGCGCCGTCTCCCAAGTGCACGCGAGTCGTCGATGCCGACTTGCCGTGCCCGAAATGGGGCAGCCCCCCCTTGCCGCGCCGCCCAAGTGGCGGCGGGGCCAGAGCCAGCAGCCGCGGCTGCTTCAGAGCCCCTCGCCGCCGCCGCCGACGACTTGCAGGCTGGCTGCGAGGGACCGCGCGGCGGGTCTCTGCCGCGGTCCACCGCGACCTAGGAGGCCGACGCGGCCGTGGACAAGGCGCGCTTCGCGGCCATCAAGGCCCGCGCGCGCGCCGAGCACGCGGTCCACTGGGCCATGGAATATTGCGAGCAGGCGGCCGCCGCGGAGGCCAAGGCGGCCGAGGCCCGCCGCAGGGACTTGTGGCTGGAGCGCTAGGAGCAGTTGGCGGCTGCCTCCTCAGACGCCGCGCTCAGCCTCGCCGAGGCCGAGGCGATGGCGGCGGTGCTGCGCCGCTGACCCCGCCGATGGGCCTTGGGGTCCTACGCGGGGCGGGGAGTGCGAGGGTGGCAACAGGGTTGGGATGGCGGGTGGCGAATGCGGCTGGGGAACAATAGGTGTCTTCATCGGTTCCCTCCTTGTCCTTGCTCCCCACGGTTCCTCCACCACCTCACCACGCCCGTTTCCTTGCCCTCCCCCCTCTATCCGTCGCAATTTTGGCTCTTCCGCTGGCCCGCCGTTGGCGCGCCTTTGCGTTGGCCTGAAGGCTTGCGAGCCCGCTGCTTTCATGAAGCGGGGGTCCCGGGGTCCCAGCGTAGACGCTGGGGCCTTGGTCCAGGGGGGTCGCGGCCTGAATCGTTGAAGTGTGGTTGCATCGTGCAACCAGCGGTTGCACTTTTGCGCTAATCCTTCGCGCGCGGCGGCGGTTTCTGTTGGCGGCGGGGGGATTGGCAGAGCGCCTCCCACTTCAACGCAGGCCTGTTCGGCTGCAGCCGCCGCGCGTGGTTCAGCGCGTTTGAAATGGGCAGCGCGCGGGGTTGTTTTGCTTCGCTTCATGTGGCGGCACGGCCGCTTGGGGTACGAGCGTTGGTCAGAGCCGCCATGGGGCTGCGATGCGCTATCGTTGCGGCCAGTGGCAGGCGCAATGGCCAGAGCGCGTTCGCGCGGCCTCGCAACGTTTCGCGATGCCGCGCGCGCGGCTTGAGTGCTAAAGCCTTTTCACAGAGACAATTCTTTCGCATCGGACAATGTCGCTCGCATGTCGAGCGTAAATACGTTGCGGGTGGGACAAACCTCCTCGACCTCCGAGCCTTTATGCACGTCATAGGGACAAACGCATAGTTTTTTTTATATAAAAAAATGAGCTATTTCGAAGATTTCTCCCCAGGGGCCTCAAAGGGGGCCCGTGACATCTGAACTGTAGGAGGAGGAGGAGGAGGAGGAGGTGGGGAGGGAGGAGGAGGGGCCGGGATGAGGGCTAAATGATAAAGGATAAAGGATAAAGGATCAGAGGACGAGGGTGAGGGGCGATGTCGATGAAGGAGGAGGCGCAGGAGGAGGGGAGGAGGGGTAGGAGGAGCAGGGTGAGAGAGCGCCGTGCCAGGCCTCCGACTCCTTGAGGGTGAACTCGTGGTCGCTGCCGCACAGCATCCGGATGGCGTTCGGCGGCATTGGCCGCGTCGTCGTCGGCCGCACTGGAGCTGCAGCGCGCAATGACGGCGTCGTGGGCTTGTCCGGCGACGGCGGCCACCACCTCGAGTGCGCCATCACGTGTGCAGGCGCGGCTTATCCGATGAATGGAGTGAGGAGTGGGATGACGAGTAGGATGAGGCATGAGGTGCGTGAGGTATGAGGTATGAGGTATGGATTGACGGGCGGCGCGAGAAGGTGGATGAGCGGATGGGGGGCGGGGGGAGGAGGGGGCCGTGGAGAGGGTTCGGAGTGGGGAGTTGGATGAGGCATGAGGTATGATAGGCAGCGTCTTCGGAGCCATCATGCGGCATTTTAGGCTATCTTGAGCCATCTTGGAGCTCATCTTGGGCTCTCCGAGGCGCCCTTGGAATCATCCTGGGCCATGGCGCTCTGACCGCTTGCCGCGCCCCCCGTCCAGGTCCAGGGGAGGGGGTAGGGGGAGGGGTAAACCCTTCCCCGAAGGGGAAGTAGGAGGTTGGAAGAGGAAACGCCCTAGACTGCCTACGCCCAGAGGGCTGGATCCGGGATTGGATATGATCTGGATGATGAGGTGATCGACCTTGAGGTTCGCCCCTGCCCCGGGGCAGTGAGGGGCTGGGGGGTTGTTGCTCACGTTTCCGATGGCCCATGGCCCCCCAGGCATCTACCTGGACGCGCAGGAGCGCGCCATCACCGCGGCGTTGATGGACCTCCGCTTCGAGCAGAGGTCGCTCTTCATTCGCCTGTGCGCAGGGGGCTGCGCCCGCCGCCTCTGGCATCCTGGGCATCCTACATCCCACGTCCCCTGACACCTTTATCCCGCCTCCTGTATCCCTTATCTCCCGTTCTCCCGCTGCACACTACACCTCCCGTACCCCTGATCCTTTTATCCCATGCAACATATCCAACATCCCACCTTTATCCCTTAACCAACATCCCACGTCTCATTCCTCACATCCCACATCCCACATCCCTTTTTCCAATTTCCCCCGGTCCCTTGCCCCTCTCGCATCTTTACCGATTCACCTCGCCCTTCTTGGCTGGGGTCGGCGGCTCGTACGACTGCGCGCCCATCCGGATTCGGTTCGGCGCGATGGCCCAGCACATGCGGGGGTGTTCTAGATATTCGAGACGCTCCGCGTACCCCCCATCACCCATCGCCCGCGAGCCCCTCAGAGCCGACGGGAGAAGAGAGAAGGTCGGGAGTCTGAGGTCTCGGGGCCCCCTTGGGGCTCTGTTGGGGCGTCCTCTGGAGGCCATCTTGCCATCTTGGATCCTTGATATATGATATATGATATAATGATATATGATGTATTGCTATATTGCTGGCGGTCGTTTTCGCGAACGCCCGAGGTGGCGCATCACTGTTTCACCATGTCGTTTTTGCGAGTGCCCAGGGTGGCACATTTCGAGCTTGCAGCGGGAGTTCCGGCCACGCCGCGTCGCGTTCGGTCGCGGGGCCCGCTCCCATCTTCTCCCTGCTTGCCCGCTCCCCTCTGGTAGAGAAGCCCTGACTCTCTACTAAACCGCGCAAAGCCCGCGCCTCGCGCCCTGGCGCCCTAGGGCCTGCAGGGCCGGTCGGGCTTGCATCAGGTCGAGGACGGCAGGTGGAAAATGATCCCGCTCGAGGAGTACCAGCAGCTGCACAGAGATGCCCCGCAGGTGAGCGGGCGACAACGCTAACAGCGCCCCTCCCCTCTTGGCGGGCTCGGGCGAGGAGGAGGATGAAGGAGGATGATTTTTTTTTGCGACCATGAAATGCCCAGACCCACCTTCGACGCAACTTCCGGACCCACCCTCGACCGCGAAATGTCCAGAGCCACCCTCGACCACAAAATGTCCAGACCCGCCCTCGTCCAGAGCCAGGCCGCCTATATAGTGCCCAGTGCCCAGAGTCAGGCTGCTTTGTGTTTGGCGGAGGGCAAGGGGCATGGGGGATGAGGATCATCAGTCGGATGATCCAGACAGGTGGGAGTAGCGGAGTTGCTGGCGCAGCGCATGACCGTGGCTTGGTGGAGTGGCACGGTGCTGACGCAACGCAAGATCATTGTCCCGCCGCGCTTCGTCGAGAATGGTAGGGCGTCCACGCTTTACAGGGCAGTTGACAGCGGGCGCGGGCAGCTCGACTTGAATGGGATCGCCGAGCTGTGCGAGACGTTGCCCTGGGTCTTCCTGGCCGAGAACCCCGACAACGCGAAGCCCAACCGCCGGAAGATGTGGGCTACCCATGCTCGTCTGCCGAAGAATTGCCTCTACGTGCCCATTGGGTGTTGCGTGCACTCGTGCTATCGCGTCGTAGAGGCGGCGACTCCCAAGGCGGGTAAATTCTAAAAGCTTCGCTCACCGTACCAGCCCATCCAGAAAAGAAGTTGGGGTGATCAGGGAAGTGCGGGAGGAAAGAGGGGGACGGCCCCACCGTGCCATGGATGGAGGAGGAGGAGA